CTGTACGCAGTTGAGTTTTGTGCATATCCAAGAAATATTCCTTCATCACTTCGGGGATCCATCTTGCCAAGATACTCTCTGTCGTTTAGAATGTAGCACGTACAACCAAACACATGAACATACTTAAGGGGGGGAGACCGTCCCTTCCAGATTTCGTAAGGTGTTTTGTACAGACCAGAACGCAGATAGATCCGATTGATCAGATAACAAGCAGTGCTCATGGCTTCAGCCCAAAACCTTATGGCAACGTTTTTAGCATGCAACATAGATCGTGCCATTTCCTGAAGAGTTCGGTTTTTGCGTTCCACCACTCCGTTTTGCTGAGGAGTCTTTGGGGCTGAGTATTTATGAGTAATACCATAAGTGTCACAGAATATGTGAAACAATTCATTCTCAAATTCCCTACCATGATCACTCCGTATCCGTTGCACCATTCCCTTTCCATTTTTCAGTTGGAGACACAGATGTTGGAATGCAACGCAAGCCTCAGACTTTTCTCGAAGAAACCTGACCCAAGTAAATCTGGAGTAATCATCAACACATACAAGAACATACCGTTTTCCACCGAAGCTTTCGGTTTGCATAGGGCCCATTAAATCCATGTGCATAAGCTCCAAGATATGAGTTGTATGGACATGGTCTGTTTTCTTGTGACAAACGCGAATCTATTTCCCCAGTTGACATGCTTTACAGACAAACTTGTCATCGTGAGATAGTTCTGGAAGATCCCGAACTGTACCTGACTTTGACAATTTGACCAGCGCACGCATATTGATATGTCCAAGTCTTTGATGTCATAATTCCATGTCGTCTTTCTTTGCGATGAAATTCAGATGATGTGCAGACTCCCGTCGCGTGTGAACCCAAGTATAGCAGTTGTTTGTATTCCTCTTCCCTGTTAGAACACACCTATTGTCAGCATCAGTTACAAAGCAAGCGTTCTTTGTAAACTTCACTCGCATTCCAGTGTCACACAGCTGACTTATGCTGATAAGATTGGCTTCCAATCCTTGTACAACTTTAACTTCGGTTAACTTAGGCATCCCAGCATGATCCAGTATTCCTTTCCCAAGAATCTTTCCTTGTTTGCCGTCACCAAACGTAACACTTCCACCGTTCTGTGTTGCTACAAAATCTTTGAGCAGTTCTTGATTTCCTGTCATGTGCCTTGAGCAACCACTATCAAAGTACCAGGTTCCAGTATTTTCGGTTTGCTCAGTAGTATAAGCAACATTACACATTAAATCTGATTTCCGAACCCATCTTAAGTTCCAAGGAGAATAACCAAAAGAGGGTGCTGGATACCTGGAAAAGCCTCTGTTCCTTCTTAGATAGAAACAGTTCCTTCTGAGATGTCCCACTTTACCACAGTGGTAACAACATCTGTCTTCTTGGCGTCTCCAGTTTGATGGGCATACTGGTTGTCTTGAGGGAGAGCTTTTTCGCTTCATATCAGGTAGATCTTGACTCAAGTTACCTCCAGACACAAAATTAGATTCTGACGAAGATTTACCTCGATATCCAAGACCAGAATGATCTCCAGTGTTCCGACCTTGTCCAAGCAGATGATCTAATTTTCCAGTCCCATTTCCAAGAAGATGTAGATTCTTCTTGGTTCCTTCCAATTGACATTTCATCAATGACACCTCTTCTTCTTTTTGTGTAAGTTTTTGTTGAGTATCTGTCAGCAACAGTTGAACTTGTCTGAGTTCCTTCTCCAGTTGTTGTTTTTCACTGATCAGTTGCTTATTCATCAACACCAACTTGTTCATTTCCTTGAATAATTCCTCCTCAGTGACTTCTTCTTCATCACTGTCCTCTGCTTGATCATTTTCTTCTTCAATAATCCCAACAAATGCTACAAAATTGGACATGTTTTCTTCATCACTCTCTTCCTCAGATGAGCTATCTTCATGAGAGATAAATGATTTTCCTTTCTGTTTGGTACATTCCATCTTAGTATGTCCAAATCCTTTGCATTCAAAACACTGTGTCTCCTTGAGATTCTTTAGCACACTTTCTCTCTTCGCAATACTCGGACATTCAGCCTTCCAGTGTCCTGTGCCTTTGCATTCCAAGCATTTTCCTGAATCTCTATCACTTTGTTGTCCAAATTTCTTCTTTCCCTTGAAAAATCTATTGAACTTCTTAATGACCAATGCCATCTCATCATGCAACTCTACTTCAACCTGTTTTTTATTCTTTACTTGTCTTCTATTCTCTGAATCAGTCTCATTAGTCTCAGGAACATGAAGAGCAATACCTTGTCCCTTCTTGGTTTGAACAGACGATCCACCATTCATTAGTTGCAGTCTCAACTCATGTGCTACAAATGTTCCGACAGCTTCCTTGAAGATGACAGTCTCCAGATTGTTTACGCCTTCAAATACCAGAATCTGTGAGTGATACTTGGCTGGTAGACTATTCAGAAGTTTCTTTACCAGCTTATCATTACTGATTCGTTTCCCAAGTACACTTGCCTCATTCGATAAGGCACTCAACTTCCCACAGAATTCCTTAACACTTTCGTCATCTCCCATGCTCAAGCGTTCAAACTGAAGATCTATCATATCCAACCTGTTTCGTTTTACCTTGGATGTTCCTTCATGAATAAGCTCCAAAGTGTCCCATGCATCCTTAGCAGTTTCACATCCTTGAATCTGTTCAAACTCTTCATGGCACACACTGCTGAAAATGATAGACAGTGCTTTCTGATTCATAGCCGAATCCTTCTTCTCTTGTGGTGTCCACGAGCTCTTCGGCTTTGGTTTAGCAACTCCATCAACGATATCTGTGGGTCGAGTCCATCCATCCGTAACAGCACTCCAAGTATCTTCATCCAGCCCTCGAATATACGAACTGATCTTGACTTTCCAGTGCCCATAGTTGGTAGAATCCAGCAGGACAGTTTTTCCAATGGTTTGTAATTCCTTGAGACCTTCCATCGTGTGAATCTGAACCGTACACCGATATGAGAGGACAATCAATTCCTACGATCAGTGACCCGCTCTGATACCAATTGAAAAATTATAATCACACGATCTTGCAAGAACTCAAAATCCCAAACTGATTCTATTTCTTTGATACGTGTCAAGTACACTTCAACCTTTCCAAGTAGCACTCAACTCACCCGGTCTTACTCCCCCTGAGTAAACCTCCCGTACCACAAGAAATTCTATCAGCTACAAACACTATGTGTGCAGCGCACACCCCGTGTCACCCTAGACAACGTCTAGGCCTACCGAGCGGTTCGTCTATAACTCACGTTCACTCAGAAATCTCTCACCAGTGTTTCCCGTACATGTTCGCTCTTAGAGATTACAGACTCTGCTCTCTCCCAAATAATCTCGCCAACCTTCAACAATGACCTCTTCAGTCCATATATACCATCGTACATTGATTCTCTCAATATCTTCATATTATGCATTTTTCCTTTTTTCTTCATTGATGCAAGTGTCTTCTTTCCTTTTGTTGCTTCTTTCCTTTTGTGCTTTCCAGATTCAGCTCCATACTTCCATTTGTTGATTTGAAGCATCTAGATGCTGAATATGCTATTTCCTTGCTTTAACAATTTCTATAATCATCAATCACACATCATACTAGTCTTATTATGTCATCATTCTCATAACGACACAAGACTAGGGAGTTTAGTATCATTCATAATGATACATGGATTTCATAACAGATCTAGTATGCAAGAACATGTAATGAATCAAATACTCTCATAAAAACCATAGAAAATATCAATACATCAAATGTATCTGAACAAAGCTCATAAACAGTATATCATAGAGCACTAAACCAACACTCATCACTCTTTACAAAAAAGAAAATTATTTTGGGAAAACCCCTTGAAAATTCCACAACTTGCAATTCGGTGGAAAACTAATTTCTGAACTTACAAGTGTTTTGATTTATTCACGAACTTGAAAAATTGGACATGATAATTCCTAAACTTGCTTAAAAATATCATAATTGTCCGAACAATAATTTTAACCAAAATAATGTGTTGAACAATCCTATGTGGCTTGTGAATCGTCAAGACACGTCAGACTTTTATGTTTTGTATGCAAAACTGGGTTTAATAGATATGGTTAAACAAAACCGATTCGTAATAGTGAAAATTTCGGTTCATCGGAAGCGCTGACACCAGCAGGCAAAGCTTCTTTA